AAAGTGCTCAGCGAAAAGTGCTCGGCACAAAGTGCTCGGCGAAAAGTGCTCGGCACAAAGTGCTCGGCGAAAAGTGCTCGGCACAAAGTGCTCAGCGAAAAGTGCTCGGCGATAAGTCCTCGGCACAAAGTGCTTAGCGAATAGTGCTCGGCGAAAAGTGCTCGACGAAACGTGCTCGGCAAAAAGTTCTCGACAAAAAGTGCTCGGTGAAAAGTGCTCGGCGAAAAGTGCTCGGCAAAAAGTTCTCGGTGAAAAGTGCTCGGCAATAAGTGCTCGACACAAAGTCTCGATTATCAATAATGAATTGAAAATAAAACCAAGTCGAAAATGACAGATGAGAAAAGGCACCGAATGAGCATCAACGGCGCGGCCGCTTGCGGTCGCGGAGGCGCTAGTAACGTTGAATTCTTGAAACAGCCCGTGTCCGTGCATTCAGCGAAGCGATGATGTCAATATTGCTTCCGAATGGAAGCCTTATAATCGATCGATTTTATGATTTTCTAATCTTGTCTGGAAATGATGTAGGATGCCATAAAACGTCGAGAAATGATGTTTTTGGAAAATGTCTGTATGTATGGCTATATGTATGTGCGGATTTTTGGGAATTGTTTCATAATCTTCTCACAAAAACGACTAAAGTGATAGCTAAAAAGCGGAAATTTTGTGTAATAACGGGTATTGGTTGGATGCTTTTCTGTGCCAAAGTTCAGCTCAATCGGTCGATTAGTTTTCGAGATATAGCTATTTTCAGAAAATCTTTTTTCCCCAATATCTAATGAACTATTGAACAGAATCGATTTTTTTTTTACCAAAATATTCCTTATGATAATATCTATCGAATCACCGCGAAATATTTCTACCTTCCGGGGGAAACTTGGATAGTAATTGGCCTTTTCCATTTTTGTTTGTCAATTCCTTGTTCGCACGATAACTCTAAAAAAATGGAGATAGCCAGTTCGACCTCGCATTTAAATTGTAGCTTTTATGATTTTAACGGTCGGTATTGAGTCTGGGCCTAATCGGTTGGATAGTTTCGGAGATATTCATGTTTGTCGTTAAAAGTGTTTGATTGAATATCTCAAAAACTATCTCACCGATTTCAATTTTTTTTTCAAAATACTCGTGACGATGTCTCCTATTTGATGCAATCAAAATATACATACCCTCCGATGAAAAGTTATCGAGATATCGCGATTTTTCTATTTTCTTTACTTGAAATTTGCTTTCGGGGAGTCTTGGCGAAAGATTGAAGAAAGGACTTGAAACTTTGATCACCAGTTGGAATTTTCAAGTTACATTTCCGTGGAAAATTCCAACTTGATCATTCTACTAGTTCCTTAAATACAATGATTTGAATAAAAAAAACAAACATTGAATTTTTATAAATTCCATTCGGAAGCTTACTACCAATGGAATTGGTAGGAACAGAAGGAAAAATAGACCAATCGTAACATTTACCGAACACATCCAACGAGCACCATACAACCAGTGGCATGCAACCAGTCGCACGCTACGGCGGCCGGCTTGTTCTACCGTATATGACTATGTTGGTCAATAATACAATTCTTTTGTGAACAAAATTTATTTAAAAAACAAGCTTTTCATCCCCGGCGTGGCCCAGGAAATTGTTATTTCACAATTTTCCTGCAGAAAACCCGTCAACATTCTCAAATTTTCTTTAAAAAAATGGAAATTTCCTCAATTCTCTCAGAAAACTCTTGAATGTTCTATAATTGTCTAGGAAACCAATGAGTTTTCTTTTTTTTGAGAAAATCCTGAATATCCTCAAATTTTCTAGAAATTTCTCTTCTAAAGAAAAGTCCTGTGATGTTGTTTTCCAAACCTAGTAGTTTCAGAGATATTCGCAGAATAATTTATGATATTTTTCAGGGATTAAGAATGGGTTTCCAAAGTTTTATTTAAATATCTTGAGAAGGACGCGGCTTAGGGGGAAATGTCAGTAAACATTTTTTTATAGAGAATATCATAAGCTATAAAAAAGGTTTTGTCATGTTTTCCTTTGAACCCAGTCGTTTCTGAGATATTTGGGGAATAATGTGGAGGAGGTGGGTTCCAGAAGAATTTCGAGATTTTTTTGGGAATATCTTGGGAAGGAAGCGGTTTCGGGAAAAATGTTAAATCACATTGTTTGAAACGCAGTCAAAATTCAGTATATCAACGGTTGACCACAGATCGGCCACTTACGAAAATCTTCGGGAAACCTCGGGTCAACGGTCAGGCCTAGTCAATCACCGAATCTCAGAGTCAGTTACAGGCAGTCAGTCGTAGAGAGTCGTAGCAAATGAGTTGAGCGAGCAGTATATCGTTTTTCTAAAGCTACTTTCGGTTGTCCGAACAGCGTCAGTACATCACCCGTTCGAGACATTTTGTTTTCTCAGTACATCTCCTATTTAAATTCTCAGTACAGTCTCCTATTATTCAGTATATTGTTCAGAAAATCTCCAGTGTTAAATTCAGAACAGTTTGAATTAATTTCAGTGACAATTAACAGAGTGTAACAAGTGACGCTAAGGTGGTTCGATTCCACCGAATAAATCAGTATATTTTTTATAGACTCAGTGCGTTCGTTTTTCACCGGCATTTCCACTACCCCTTTCCCAATCCACCCTAAATTCAGTTTTCCCTCCAAACACACGTTTCTTCGAGCCGGATTCGGGAATCGGTAGTGTGAAATTATTCAGTGCAGTGAAAAACCCACGCGGACATTCGGGGTTCACATCAGAAACTCAACGGACAAATTCAGACGTGTTTGTGCCAGTGTTTATATTCTCCGGACAATAGAAGTATAAACACCATTGTCCTCCAGTGCCTCAACGTGCCGTAGAGTCGAGAGTCAGCGAGAATCACCGAGTGTTGCCGAACAGTCTCAGCGCGGGCCCAGCGCCCAGCAACAGGCGGCGCCTCACAGCAGCAGAGTCGACCAGTTACCGACGCAGCACAGCAACTCACCGAGTGGTAAACCGCAGGCGGTCGGTAAAGTAGAAACTCTCGTACTCATTTACCAAGGGATCTGACAGGTTGTAAACAAAACAGTACATCACCATGTCAGGCTCCGAAACAGTAATTGAACAAGGATTGCAGGACAGTAAGGAGGAAATTAATCCATCCACGAGCGCAGTAAACTCACCACCTGGAATTCCGAAGGTCATCATCAATGCCCCTGATGGAGATACACTCAATCAAGGGGACAAATTAATTTCGGAGGTCAAGCAGAGGTACTCCGAGATTATTCAAGTTCCAGAGGATGGTCTCACAGTGCATCAACTCATCCAACTGAGGCAGATACAGCTCAGGGTGGACAGTATTACGGAGGTTTATCAGGAACTCACCAAGGTCATCATGACCGACGAGGATGTCACCTCCGAGGATTTGGACGGCCACGATAGGATCCTGGATTCCGAATGGGCAGAATTACTCACCATCCAGGGGAGCCTGATCGAGTCCATTCCACACGATCACCCGTATCTCGCGAACGGGGTATTCGAGCAGGCAGCCACCACCAGGAAGCAATGCGTCAGGCTCATCAGCAGGTTGAGAGGTCAACTAGCTAAGAAAGCTCAGTCACCCAGTACACCACCGAGTCCTCAACATCACGATCAGCTGAAGAGACTGGACATCAAGCCTTTTGATGGCAATCCTTCACAGTGGAAGGAGTTCAGTGACCTCTTCACTTCACTGGTGGGCAGCAAATCTACAATTCCCCCAGTGGAAAAATTGGTGAGGCTGAAGAGCAGCCTCAGAGGACCAGCAGCAGCTCTGATCTCTACGATACCCATCAGCGATCAGAATTATGAGAACGCATGGAGAAAGCTCCAAAAGAAGTACGATGATCCCAGACTTTTGGCACAGTACTTATTTAATCGAGTCCTGGAGTTGCCAAAAATCACCAAACCCACGGAACAGAATCTCACCGACAACGTGGCAGCAGTGGTCGAGTCGCTGGACCAGCTCAGAACAGTGGCCGGCCTTTCAGAAGCGAACCTAACTGAACAGCTGTTCGCTCACCTCCTGAGGAAGTCCTTGGACGCAGAGACTCTCAGACAATGGGAGTTGAAATTGGGAGACGCCAAGGATTTCCCCAGTCTCACAGAGTTCGTCGTATTCGTGGAGTCCTGTGCCAGGGGTATCAACGCAGGGTCCAAACTCCACTCCAGACAGCAGATCACCGCTCCCAGCAAACCACCTATTAAAAAGAAAGGAGCTTACGCAGCAACTCAACAAGTGGAGGACAGCGCTCAGCAGAACAGTCACCAAAGGAAAGAGTGTTCCATGTGCAAAGGGAACCACTTTGTCGACAAGTGTCAGCAATTCAAGGAGCTGGACCCAGTAAAAAGAAACGGCCTGGCCATCGACAAGAAACTATGCTTCAGGTGCCTGGGCACGCACAAAAAAGACAGGTGCAGCTCAGACGAACAATGCCACAAGTGCAAAGGATCTCACCACACTCTGATCCACGGAGGCAGCAGGTACACAGGATGGGCTCCTCCACGTCGTGACTCGGAAGCTGCAGGGTTCTCTGGAACTGCCAACAGACCTGCAGAAGAGAGGATCGACGAGGACCAGAGTAAGTGAATGTTCCTTTAATATAATCAGTACATTCACTTTCTCATTGGTCATTCTCACAGCTAAGCCCAGTACATCAACAGCAGCAGTTAACCTCAACAATCAGATGACCAATGGGAACCAGCAGTCAAATCAACCTTCAGAAGATCAACAATCGGTGCTGCTGGCGACAGCCCGAGTTACAGTGAAATCACCACGAGGATTCTCCAGCAGAGCCAGAGTCCTCATCGATCAGGGATCAGAGGTGTCATTCATCTCAGAAAAACTAGTAAATCAACTGCACTTGCCCAGGAAATCAACAACGTTGGAATTAATCGGAATTGGAGGAGTTAATTCCGGCAGCACGAGAGGATTGGTATCAGTTACACTTCAGGCAATCAACGGAAAACAACAGGTTCAGATCAGCGCCCACATATTGAAGAGACTCACCGCAATTCTACCATCGTTCTCATGTGCCTCAGCGAACATCGGTTCATTAGAAAATCTCCAGCTAGCAGATCAGCAGTATCTCAAGCCCGGACCAATCGATATCATCATAGGGGCTGACAACTACGGGCGAATCATCAGAGATGAAGTTGTCAAGTCCAAGCAGTCAAAAGTCGTCGGCCAACGCACAGTCTTTGGTTGGATTCTATCAGGTCCAATCAACTGCACCGGTTGTTCAGCGAGGATCTCCCTATCAGCTGTAAGGACCTCCTCAAACGAACAACTTCTAGAACTTCTCCAGAAATTTTGGGTCCAGGAAGAGTTACCAGTTCAGCAGTCAGAAAATTCAGAGTTATCACCAGACGAGCTGGAGTGTGAGAAACACTTCAGGTCTACACACAGCAGAGATTCAACGGGACGTTACATCGTGAGGCTCCCATTGAAAACATCTTCAGCAGCTCTCGGGGAGTCGAAATTCAAGGCTTCACGTCAGCTGAGATCTACAATCAGCAAACTCACCAATAATCAGGCATATGCCCAGCTGTATAAGGAGTTCATCAACGAGTACGAAACTTTGGGTCACATGCAAAGAGCACCAGAGACAACAGAACCCGTTCCAGTTTATTATCTTCCACACCACGGGGTTCTGAGAGCAGATGCAATCACCACAAGGTTGAGAGTCGTCTTCAACGGCTCCAGCCCCACTTCATCAGGAACGTCACTCAACGACATTCTACATCCAGGTGGAAAACTTCAGACCAACGCCATGGACGTTCTAACATGGATGAGAAAGTACAGGCTCGTGTTTGGCACTGACATAGTCAAGATGTTCAGGCAAATACGAGTTCATCAGGACGATTGGGACCTGCAGAGAATTTTGTGGGTTGACGACAACAAACAGCAAATCTCCTACCAGCTCACCACCGTCACCTACGGGCTCAATTGCTCCCCATGGCTGTCTCTGAGAGTTCTCCAGCAGTTAGCAGAGGACGAGGGTCCACGATTTCCAGCAGCCGTCGAGACAATCACCAGAGGTCGTTACGTAGACGACATCTACGGCGGAGCAGACTCACCAGCAGAACTCAAGGAGATAGTATGGCAGTTACAAGGACTTTGCCAGGCAGGAGGCTTCCCTCTCCAGAAATGGAGCAGTAATTGCCCTCAGCTCTTGCATGAGCTCGGCCTATCAACAGAGGAAGAAGTCATTCAGTTTGAAGAGTCCGTCACCAAGGTACTGGGTCTGTGTTGGCATCAGTCGTCCGACACATTCCAGTACAAATCCAGAGACTTCAACACAGAGACGATCACCAAGAGAATTGTCTCTTCAGAGATAGCCCAGATCTTCGATCCTTTGGGATTTATCGCTCCAGTCGTCGTCCAGGGGAAAATTCTCCTTCAGGATCTCTGGAAACTCAAATGCAGTTGGGATGACCCCCTCCCCGAAGAGTACATTCACCGGTGGGAGTCATTTCGCCAGGAACTCACCGAACTAGATAAAGTTGCAGTACCCAGATGGCTCAGAATCTCACCTCAGACAAACGACATCCAATTACACGGATTCGCAGATGCCTCAACAGTAGCTATGAGTGCTGTGGTCTACATTCGCACTCAGAATCTCAACGAGCCAGCCTCCACAGTTTTGGTCTGCGCTAAGACCAAGGTAGCACCGATCAAGCGCATGACTGTTCCACGTCTGGAACTTACTGCAGCTCTCCTGTTAACTCAACTCGTAACATCAACGCAGCAGATGCTCCAGCTAGACCAGGTAGAAACTCACCTTTGGTCAGACTCAGCAGTAGCTCTCGCGTGGATCAGGAGTCCGGCCTCGAGATGGAAAGACTTCGTCCACAACAGAGTGGTAAAAATCCAGGAAACTCTCCCGAATGCCACTTGGAGACACGTCAGTGGGAAGGAGAATCCAGCCGACTGCGCCTCCAGGGGCATAACACCAAGTCAGCTAGCAGATCATCACCTCTGGTGGACAGGACCTGATTGGATAAATCAGGACCCTGAAGACTGGCCACGATCAACTATCGATGCTCCACCAATGGACATCCCAGAAGTGGCCAAAGAAGCGAAACCAGCAAAATCTCACCCAGTCGTACAGAGAATCAACGAGATTGCCGAGCTCCTCAACAGATACAGCACGATGGCAAAGCTGTTAGCAGTAACAGCGACCATCAACAGGGCCATCGACAGATTCAGGAGGCAGCCAATGCCCCCGGGATCTATCTTGACGACCAGAGAACTCAACGATGCGAGATTATTTTGGGTAAAAATAACACAACACCAGTACTTTGTTTCAGAACTCAGGGTACTTCTCAGAAATCAGCAGCTACCTAGAAATCACCAGTTAGCGAAACTCACCCCAACTCTGGACGAGGAGGGCATCATGAGACTTGGGGGACGCCTCAAGAACTCAGAACTCCATCCAGAACAGATCCACCCAATAATCTTGCCACGTCAGTCCAGATTCACCACACTCGTCATCGCAGAAGCTCACCAGAAGACCCTCCACGGAGGGACACAGCTCACCTTGGCCTACACTCGGCAACGCTATTGGATACTCGGTGGCAGGGGCACAGTTAGAGCCTACATCCTACGCTGTGCTATCTGCGCCAGACACCGAGCTAGACAGGCTCAGCAACAGATGGGTCAATTGCCCGCAACCAGAGTCTCACCAGCAAGAGCATTTCTCCACACGGGGGTGGACTATGCAGGTCCTTTCGCCATCCTCAAGTGGAGACCCACGAATGCTCAACCGGGATCAGTGCACATCGCAGTGTTCGTGTGCTTCACCACGTCAGCAGTTCACCTAGAGCTCGTCAACAGGCAAACCACAGAAGCCTTCCTCGGAGCTTACAAGAGATTCACCGGAAGACGAGGTATTCCAGCAGTCATGTACAGTGACAACGCCACCACCTTCGTCGGAGCAGCAGATCAACTCGAAAGGCTCTATCACCAAGCATCTAAAGAAAATCAACGTGTTCAGGCTGCTCTCGCCACCAATGGGACTCAGTGGAGCTTCTCACCACCTAGAGCACCCCATTTTGGTGGCAAATGGGAAGCAGCAGTAAAATCAACGAAGCATCACCTCAAGAGAGTCCTGGGAACGACAACGCTAACATTTGAGGAACTCAACACAGTCTTAGTTCAGATTGAAGCCTGCCTAAACTCCAGGCCAATCTGTCCGATGTCAGACGACCCAGAAGATCTTCAGGTTCTCACCCCAGGACACTTCTTAATCGGCGAGCCTCTACAGATAGTACCAGAGTCATCCTACGTCGACGAGAATCCCCTCAAGATGAGGAGATGGAACCTCGTGACTCGGATAGTTCAACAGTTCTGGTCCAGGTGGTCCAAAGAGTGTCTCCAACGATACCAGGCTATCTACAAGTGGAAGACACGCCAGCAGAACATCGAGGTTGGTAACATGGTGCTGATGGTCGACGATAACCTTCCACCAGCCCAGTGGCCAATCGCCAGAGTCATCGCGACTAGACCAGGAGCAGATGGGCTCACCAGAGTAGCCACAGTCAGAACGAGCAAAGCAGAAGTCGGCAGACATCAAGATGGGTCGCCTAATCTCCAGAACATCACAGCAGCCCACTCGGTGTTTGACAGACCAATCACCAAGCTCTGTCTGCTTCCTACAGACCCACCTACACCAGAACAACCTCCAGAAGAAGATCACCCAGATGATGAAGACGATCAACAGCAAGGGGACATCCAGGAACTGCAGGACTGAGAGTTAAGTATCATCTTCCATATGTTTTTAATTTGGCAAGTGATACGTCTCTCACCCTGTTTTTCTCCCCTTAGCAAGCATCAGCAGAACCAGAATCAGCAGAACCAGACCAGCAGAAACCAGATCCAGTAATTCAACAACCTGATGTTGAATGCCCCCGGGGTGTTTGAAACGCAGTCAAAATTCAGTACATCAACGGTTGACCACAGATCGGCCACTTACGAAAATCTTCGGGAAACCTCGGGTCAACGGTCAGGCCTAGTCAATCACCGAATCTCAGAGTCAGTTACAGGCAGTCAGTCGTAGAGAGTCATAGCAAATGAGTTGAGCGAGCAGTATATCGTTTTTCTAAAGCTACTTTCGGTTGTCCGAACAGCGTCACTACATCACCCGTTCGAGACATTTTGTTTTCTCAGTACATCTCCTATTTAAATTCTCAGTACAGTCTCCTATTATTCAGTATATTGTTCAGAAAATCTGCAGTGTTAAATTCAGAACAGTTTGAATCAATTTAAGTGACAATTAACAGAGTGTAACAAGTGACGCTAAGGTGGTTCGATTCCACCGAATAAATCAGTATATTTTTTATAGACTCAGTGCGTTCGTTTTTCATCGGCATTTCCACTACCCCTTTCCCAATCCACCCTAAATTCAGTTTTCCCTCCAAACACACATTTTTTCTTGGAAACTTCACGCCTTACAAAAAAGGTCTTTTGACATTTTCCCCTAAACATTACTCGTTCCGAAACTCATAATTATGTTCCATCCCTACACTATCTATTCCAGATGAAACGTGAAGTTTTCAGTTTCAATCTCAAAATTTGCATTAAAAAAAAATTACAACAGCAACAACGAACAGACTTCCCATCATTAATCATTATCTAACCTAATCCGTAAACTTTTCTCAGAAAGAGAAATTCTCAAATCTCAAAATCCCAAAATTGCCCTAAAACGATTCAATTGGCAGTGATGACGCAACTATCAGCGAAATGTATAAAAATAATATCGAAAAACCTTCATGTGTGGCATGTATGTACGTAGCATGACGCTAATAACTGTTTTTGTATGGTCAACATCTCAACTATTGTTTTTAGAATTGAAAAAAAATGGTATTGGGTGATTGAGAACCTCCGAACGGTTCAGTCCACTCCCTTCCCCTCCTGCCGCCACCCACCACTTTCTGTTGTTCATGCAATTATCTCTGAAACTAGAGATTAAACAATAAAATGACGAAACTTTTTTTGTAGCTGAAAACATTCTCTATAGAAACTATTTTTTTTCAACGATTTTTATCACAAATCCACTCATTTTGGGGATAATTCCATAATTGATGTTTCGCATGGAAATTTTCGTATTGTTCGATATGAAAATTGAATGAAAAATATTAGATATGTATTTTTTATTTTGAAAAATAATGAAAAATGAAGAAGTTGTAGACGATTGAAAACGTCTGCATTATAACGTCACGTCATAAACGCTCATATCCAAAGCATAGTGATGTCATCATACGGATATTTTTTCAATTGACTATGACTTCTAAACAAAAAGAGACGTATCTAATGCTTTTCATCCAATTTTAGTATTCCATAAGTTTTTTCAATTAAAAAAATTCATGCAACAACCATTATGAGGACGTAATACATCTGATTGGGCAGTTTTACCCGTCCCGGCTGAACCAGGAAGACCAATAGTCTGTAATTAACGTCATTGAAGGTAGTTACTGATGTCGATTTGCAGAATCTGTCGTGAAATGGAAACAAAACAAGTTCAAAAAATTTTGAGTTCAGTATTTTGTGGATATCTTAGGAACGGATGAGTTCAGAAGAAAATGTCAGTACATCATTTTTGTAGAGAATTCTTTGACCTACAATAAAGGTCTTGTGACATTTTCTTCTAAATCCACTCTTTACTGAGATAACTCGAGGTCTATTGATCGGTTGGAAATTGATTTGAGTAGTGATTTCCAATGTCATCAAAACAAAATTCGTTAATTGTAGGATCATCTTGCGAAGGAGTAGGTTTAGGAGATAACGTCTAAGGACCTT